TAAAACAATCAACAATACATCTCTCAAATTAAGATCATAGATTTCTGTTCAAATGAAGCTTCACTTCCAAACAAGACTTGCTAGGCCAGGTGTCGGCAACTTGTGGCTCCAAGCCGCAGATTCCTACCCCATCACTGGCTGGCCCTGTCCCTGTCCCTCACCCTCCCCTCCCTCACCTGGCCTGAGAAGGTAAGGGCATGGCGGGGGATGGAGAGGCAGCCAAGGCTGATTCTCTGGTGCCTCACTCTTGCTGGAGATTCTTTTGGCCCTTGTTGGTGTTGGGTATACCTTGGTCACTTGGGAAGATGTGCAACCTGCTCTCTGCCCGAGACACTGGCCCACCCTGGCCACGATGCCAGCCTCGCTAACATAAGGGCTGACGGGGTGGGAATGGGATCCGGCAGGATGGGACATTGGAAAGGAAATGGGCCCACAGCACCCAGCCACAGCTTTAAGAAGCTCAGGGCAGCAGGAAAAGGGAGCTGGGGGCCCCTCACACACCCATCCCAGGGGACAGGCTCAGAGAAAGCCAGAGTGCCCTCACCAAATACGCTTGCCCCCTTTCTCTTTGTCTCCTGTGTGTGTGTCTTTCTATCTGTCTCTCTTTCTCTCTTGCTTGAGGAGGGTCTCCCTGCACGTGTGCACCCTTCTGGCCCTGCCACAACCAGCCAGGTGGTTGGAAGATGAGAAGGAGGGGGCAGGAGGATCACCCAAAGCGAAGCCTCCGCCATAGCTGGCGCTCGTTCCTCAGCCAGCCTGGATTTCCAAAAAAGAAGGAAATAAATAAATAAAAGGAGGAACAAAGAGCAAAGAATATTCAAGTATGTATGATTTAGATAACATGATTGGATACTATGTGTGACTATAGAGAAAATATTCAAAAATGCCAAAAATATCTGTCCTAGACCCAAAATGTGGAATAGTATGTATGTAGATCAGTGGCTAAGTCACAAGCTATAATTGGTTTGTTTTTAGTTTAGCATCATAAGTGAACCAGGCTATTATGACCTATTCAGTAATCCAGTTTTACAAAATCTGCATTATTGTTACATGTATGCGAGTTCAGCCAATATTTTATTGGAGTAAATACCTGGGGGAAAGGGAGGGAGTTTCCTTGGTTTGAAAGAAGGTACTTTCCATTCATTCATCTATTAAAAGAAACCTTTGTTCATTGCCGTTTGCTCATCAAGCACTGCGAGAATAGTAAATTTGTAATGTGGGAAACCATCCATGTGTTTTTCTTCATTTGTATCCTTAATCCAAAGCAGCCCATTAAGACTTACTGAAATATAATTTAAAATTATTTATAGGAAAAAGCATTATGCTCAACTTCACATAGTTAATAATTGTTAGAAGAATTAGTATGGGAAAAGACAGAAAGAATCATATTTATTACTTATCCCTAACAGTGGGAAGAAAAATACATGGCCCTTTGTTTTCTATTCTCTTTTCTTTCACTTTGGAAGTATCTAGCAATAATGACTATATCTATTCACAAATACTCTGCTAGTATTTGTGTATTTCTCTGAGTGAGTGAGTGAGTGTGTGTGTGTGTGTGTGTGTGTGTGTGTGAGAGAGAGAGAGAGAGAGAGAGAGAGAAGTCTTCCAATGTTTATGAAGTCTTTCAGTCCAAGTTAATTATTCTGTGGTGTTAATGTTACAACCAAGAAAACTTTGCAAGAGCTCTCAATTGCAGCCCAATTTGGAACAGAGTTAGTTACGCTTGGAATTATGGGAAGAACCATTATAGCTCAATGCTAAACCCATGTGGATAATCCCAGTTAAGCTGTAGGCATTAATCAGCTAGATATAAGAGGTTGGGGGAAAATAACTGCAATCAAAGTAAACAGTAATGGGCTAGGCAAGCAATATGATCTAGATTATAGTGGCTTCCGGATATAAATCAGGACCTGCTAATTATGGGCCTTAATAAAACTGAATAACAGTACTAATTGTTTTCAATATCCTGTTACATATTAAGCTGTGTGATACATTTAAATGGGATATAGTCTTGAAAGCATTCCACAATTATAAATCTCATTCAAGCAGAGATTTCTCGTGGTCTGGAGATAATCAGTTAGCTGAAACTTAATTTTGACCTAAACAAGAGGCAAATTTTTGGGGGGTGGCTGAGGATTTGAACTCAAATACTATTTGCCCCTGCAGGATGAAAGCAAGAGAAAGGGGGCAAACTTTATGTGATGATGCATACAGGTAGTCCTCGACTTACAAAAGTTCATTCAATGACCATTCAGAGTTACAGCAGCACTGAAAAAAGTGATTTAAGACCATCTTTCACACTTACAACTGTTGCAGCATCCTCATGGTCATGTGATCAAAATTGTTTGGTGACTGACTCATATTTATGACTGTTTCAGAGTCTCGGGGTCATTGATCACCTTTTGTGACCTTCTGACAAGCAAAGTCAATGGGGAAGCCGGATTCATTTAACAAACCATGCTACTAAATTAACAATTGTATTGATTCACTTAACAACTGTGGCAAGAAAGGTCATAAAATGAGGAAAATTCATTTAACAACTCTTAGCCTCACTTAACAACAGAAATTTTGGGCTTAATTGTGCCATAAATCGAGGACTGAATTGATGGGATTAAGATTTTTGGATACTTTTCTTCAAAGGGAAAGTTTTAGAGGATATTAGCTTTAGAATCCTTATTTTAAGGCTTACTATGTGATTCAAAGAGATTCTGATTGTGGATATATGTACATATTTAGATACCAAAAACATATTCGGAGGCCAGTTTAGTCTAGTGTTAAGGCACCAGGCTAGATAGCAATAGCACTTAGACTTATATACCGCTTTACAGTGCTTTACAGCCCTCTCTAAGCAGTTTACAGAGTCAGCAATCTGGGTCCTCATTTTACCCACCTCGGAAGGATGGAAGGCTGAGTCAACCTTGAGGCCTGATGGGATTTGAACTGCTAAATTGTAGGCAGCTGGCTGCAGTAGAAGTAGCTTGCAGTACTGCACTCTAGTCTTAGCTCTAGTCTTACCTTGGGTGTGAAAGCCAGCTTAAAAGTTACATTCATCACCTTGGGTTATTTATAAAAATAATAAAGGTGAGATATAATTATCTTATCTTATCTTATCTTATCTTATCTTATCTTATCTTATCTTATCTTATCTTATCTTATCTATCTATCATCTATCTATCTATCTATCTATCTATCTATCTATCTATCTATCTATCTATCTATCTATCTATCTATCTATCATCTATCTAAACAAATGTGACACTTGACCTATTCCTGGGATCGCATTATTAGGAATGAATCAGTTACTGAGCCAGAGTAAATACTGGGATGTAGATGTTCTGGAACAGGGCTGTCAAACTCCTGGCCCATGGGCTGGATGCGTCATGTGCTGGCCATGCCCACATCCCGTTTAGCGAAGGGGAAATATGTCCTGATAAGTCACGTGACCCAGCCATAACAACATGAATTTGACACCCCTCTTCTAGAACAACTTAAAAGAAAATATTCTGGCTGCATTCATACATTGCGCTAAGATGTAAAATGGCTTGTTTCATTTAACACAGTGTAAACCATGCCACTGTAGTTTGCTAATCATTATTTATAGTCCAAATATATACCTGAATCAGGTGCTGACTTGAAATCATGGTTAAAAACTGGCTTGTGAAATTGGAACATAGGAATGGGTTGCAGCTACATTTAGTTACACTTTTAAAGCTGACTAACTTATACAATATAATTAATCCAAAAAATACTGACTTAAATCCAGGTTAAGATAGTGGAAGTGAATCCCACTATACTTAGTGGAAATTTTTGCACAGCACTGTTTATAAATGCAGCAAAACCTGATTTCTGACTGATGTAAGAATACACAGGCCTGGTTTACCCTAAGGCAAATGAAGCAATCACTTCAAATGAATTACTAACAGTGGGCAATTTACATGCCTCCCACTCATAAAATCATGGAGGAGAATGATTCTCCTTCCATGTTGGCTTGCCTACCACTAATTGTATTTAATAAACTTTAGCACCAGAGATCAGAACTGACAAGCAGAGGAAACAAACATGGTCCTTCATATTACCTAATTTCAAGCTTTGCAACCTCGGTCAAGATTCTGTTTGAAATTACACAATCAAAAAATAACAATATGCTGTTCAACTAAATCTGTTATAGAGAAAGCTTTTCATGCTAGGTTAAGCTTGGCTTCTTTTTCCTTGTTGGTTGGAATCCCACTTTCGGTGGCAGAATTGTCTTGGGGAATCCACCAAACAGGGAGGTGTGGTTTCATCAACTGGGCTTTCCACATTTCTGCCTAATGTTGCATTACTATTCAGAATGCGGGAGGGAAGGTTTCACGGTTCAAACACTACAACTTTTCCTTTCACTCTTTTTGTGTGGTGATTCTTCTGGATGAAATCAACATGCTGGACACAGGTGGTCTTAATATGCCTGGATTAGACTTCTCTGTATGTGTCTGTCATTTGGAGATGGTTGCGTAGCTATTGCGTAGCTATTGCAATTATATGTCTGTGAATGTTAACATTGTTCAGGGATGCTCAAACTGCATAACACAGCAGAAAGTCGGGTGAACCAATCTACATAGGATGCCTACTTCTGCCCAACACAGTTGGGATTTTGACGGCCTTTGCATCGGCCCACCTGCAGCCATCTGCCACCTACATTTAGCCATCAAGCCCTTCGCAGCAGAGGTACGAAGTTATGTGTACATGCAGTTGCATCACATTGCTGCATACCTACACTGCAAAGGAGTTGTCCATTGCAAATGGCTGCAGATGGAAAACACAAACACCTCCCCAATTCCAATTGTCCCTTGTACTGAGGTGCACTTCTTGAGTGCTAATTGGTTGATCCAACTTCTGGTCTGTTTGAGCGCCCCCTAGCCGAAACGTTTAACATTTGCAGGCGTATATACGAAACAGCTATGCAACCAGTCTCGGAACGATAGACGCACACATTCGCTGACGGGCAATGACGGAGAGGTCTAATCTGGGCTTTAGGCTCTCAAAGAGCGGAGCGTGGGTTGATTGTCAAGCGGCAACGGAGAGGAGGGCGGAGAGAGCGGCTCGCGCCTTTGCAGCCCAGAATGGAACAATAGAGGCAGGGGCGAGAGCCTGAGCGCTGCTACGAAACAAAGAGCGGCTGAAGACACTTCCACGCCCCGCTCTCCACCCACTCTCCGTCTTCCCTTTCTCACGTCTCTCCGGTTTTGCTCTAACCTGCTGGAAGGGAAGAGAGCAGCCGGGAGCCCCACCGACATCAAGCGAGCCTTTCGATGCCCATCCACCCGCGCCATTCTTCTACAGTTTCCCCAACAGACAAGAGAGACCTTGGCAAAGATATGCGTTCGTCCTTCACCTTCCTTTCTTCTTTCTAATTCCTCTGCTGCGAACTTGCTTTTGGTTGCCAGAACAGCGGACTTCGGAGAACAGGCGGACAAAAGGCTTTTGTCAACAGCTGCTTTGCAGGCAGCATCTAAGAAAGTTAAGCAGATGGGGAGTTTCTCTGGAGAAGCAGGGCGCCGCTTCTGCCGCCCCCGTTCTGCGATTTCGGCCGAGGGATGGCCCAGCTCGCCCTAACATGCGGCCGCGCTGCCCTTCCGGCTCCGCTGCTTCCTACCTGCGCCTCGGTGGGGTTGGGGGTACTTCATCCCCCTGCCGCCTCCGCCGTGGTCTCTACAGGGTTAGAGACACAGAGACGAGCTTCTGCGCCGAGTCTGTGCTCGATCTCCGAGGAAAACAAAACTGCATTATGTGGATCTCACTCCTGGCTTTCCTAACGGTCGGGCTCCTCTCGCTGCAGAAATGCCAGCGGCATCCCGGCCCGGTCCTGGGAATGAGTCGCCTGCTGGCGGTGATTGTACCAGGCTCCGGGCAGCGCTGTAAGTTTCTTTTTCCCATCCCGAATCGCATCATGTTTTCCTTCCCTTTCTCCCGTCTTCTCTGCCACCCTGTCCTCACTTAATCCTTGAGATGCACTTGACTGGCTGCTTGCAGTTGTATCCGCGTCAGCCTAGTTATAGCATACTGGGATTTGTTCCAACCGCATAAGATCGAGCTTTAGTTAAATTGAACCCGAGAATCCCAAATCTAAGTTTTCTTAGAGTGTAGCTGTAATATAAAGTTACAGTTATATGAATTTATACCAGCATTGTCTCTTTTATACACTTCTAAAGGAGTTTAATATAAACAAGGAAGAAGTGCCTGATCTAAAGTAAATCGAATTTGAGACAGGAACTTTATACCCTTCTAATACATTCTTTGGCAAGTAATCCTAAATAATGTTGGGCGTTTTGATTTTGGGGTCCTAGCAGCTGCTTATCCTGACTTTGGAGAGAGACATTGGCAGTGATTTTATTTATTTATTTATTTTGCCTGATGAGTTGAATAGGATCTCCTGCTTGAAGGGGTTGGACTTGAAAACACCAAGGTCCCTTCCAACTTCTGATGTTATTTGTTCTGTGTTCAAGAAACCTTTCAAATGTATATAAATTCTGTTACCAGGATTTAAGACACAACCTTATACATGGTCAGAAACATTGATTCAGCTGGTTCAGTACTGGATGTTCATGTACTGATAGCAGTTTGGCAGATTTCAGAAGGCCTTTCTCAGTCTTGCTTGTAGATACAAACATCTGAAATTTAGACTTTTGGAAAATAAACAACATGATGTATCCCTGAGTTTAACTATTTACTTTTCCACATAGGTTATGAGTTTATGCATGAGTTTAACTATTTACAGTTCATGTTTTCCATATGCATGAATGAAAAACTGGGGTGTTATCACTAATTACTATTTTTTCAAAATATGTCTGTATTAACTTTGGATAATAACTGTCCTAGATGATTAAATTATTTTTGCATACTATTGCTGTTCAGTTCCATTGGTTATAATATCTCAAATTGCAGGAGATTCTGCTTGACAGGTCTTCCCTGGTCGATGGAGTCCAGGATTTTGGGATAGTTGAATAAAAAATATGGTTTGTCCAACTTCTCTGTTTTAAAAACTATGCCAGACTGTGGGATGTTATTGGTTCACGAAGAATATATGGGTAATTGAATGTTGCACTGAGTAAAACTTCAAATCAATTATAAACAGGACAAGAATGTTAGATTTTCTCCATAGATGTATTAATTACCTAAATAAAATCTGACTAATTGTTTCACTCTCCCCAAACTTTCCATGAAATAATAGTAATGGAAGAGTTTCAATAGAAGAATGGGTAGAAATCTTTAGAAACAATTGAAACTTCAAGAAAATAACCTATGTAGAAAAAATATTTCTCCTAATCCTCCTCCTTATAAAATTATTTCACTAGCCTTCAGTCATCACGTACCAGTAACTACATTATGTGATATATCTCGTTTGGTGATCAGCACAAGGACATCCATGAATCTGGTTACTTTGTCAGCACTATGATAATTCCAAATTCTTTTCTGAAATATTCTATGGTATATTTTTAAAGAATCTATTGGACTGTTTGGGGTTTTTTGAAAAAGAGAAACCATATTTAAAATCTTACCCTGTTGTGAACTCCTTAAGATGGTTCTAGTTTGATACCTTTTCTTAATTATAATTTCTATTCTGTGAACTGGCACTACAGTGGAAGTTTAAATCCCACTCTTCAGATAAAAAATAAATATTTGGATTTGGCAGGAAGACACTTACATGGAAGAAACCAAAACATTCCTGCATATTTAGAGTTGTCCAATTAGATCTGTAAGATGTTGGTCTATTTGCTAATTGCCTTACTGTGTAATAAACTTTTTCTAACCTGATGTTGTCCAGAAGTGTTGGATTACCACTCAGAATTTCTAGTCAGAATTGGAATCCTAACACATCTGGAATGCTTACATTTAAAAAATCATGTTTTCAAATGAGACTGGATATTAGGAATGTATCTTATTTTATTTATCTTATTTGTGTTCTGAGCCATCTAATATGAAAGTGACTTATCGCATATAGCACTTAAGTTAAAAATACATAAAATTAAATGTCATTAAAATTGTGCTTTTATTTGCATCAGCTTCCTATTTGATCAAGAAGGGCTCAGCAGAAACTGAAATTCAAAGACTAATTACCATTAAGCTTAGTTTGATATTTGAATTCAATGCTATAATATATATTTACCTGAAATAAAGACTCAATTTCCTAAATAATTTATCTATGAAATAAAATTTTCTGGTAACATGATGTTTTCTTATCTAAACTTTTTTTAGTGACAGAGCGGAATTGTTTTAAATGTAGAAGCATCATCCTTTCTGATAAACATCTATATTATTCCATACCTAAATACCATGGAGGGTATGCTTTAACTATGACATACATCATGCTATATCTAAAAATGGGATCTGTATACAGATTACACCATTATGACATGTGGATTCCAGATTAATTTATTCATTACATGTGCAAATATTCTTGAAACACCAAATTAATCTAATTTGGAAATTGAAGTTAAAGTTTTTATTATGGATGTAGTGAATATCATGTTCCATTTCTTGATTTAAAACATAACAATATTTGTTGGGGGATATTTCTTTTCATTTAGCTTATACATCAAGTTTCTGCCTGGAGTCAATTAAAATATTCATGCTGGAACAAGTATGTTGTTACATATTTGACAAGTTAATAGCTCATATTGGACATAACAATAAACAAAGGTTTATGGAAGCCGTCTTTGGCTTCTATTCTGTCCCTCCCTTTTCTCCTTCCAGTGTAGCTCTGGGAGGGAATTTGGGAATGTTTGCTTCTGATTTCAATTAATCAGAATTACATAGTGTGCCTCAACTATAAACTGTAATCTACTTTATGGCCTGATCTATCCTCAAAAACTAAAGCCAGCCTCCTTTTGCTAATCCAAATTAAGACAAATTGCAGTTTGACTAGGTTCATTCAGATATAATATTTAATTGTGTTTAAACAAATATGAAAGTAACCATTGAACTTGGTTTCCTACTGTTATTCCACAGAAGAGGAATGTGAAATGCCCAAATTCACTGTTTTTTGAGCTGTTACAAATAGTAACTTTTATTATTAAGAATTAAAGATAATAGATCATTTGCCCAAAATGTAATTCTGTGCCTCTCTGTTTTTATATAATGCTTACTTTTTTAAATTTAAATTCAATCTGAAGGAAATGTAAACTCAAACTCATTTTAAGCCAGATTTAATTATAAAAACTAGATCTGATTTTGGTATCTTTATTTATTCCACTCAAAAAGAATGGAAAACTGTTCTGAATCAGAGGTGGTATTCAACTGGTTCACACAGGTTCGGGAGAACTGGTAGCGGTGATTTGGTGTGGGTCGCCTGTAAGGATGACCCCTGGCTGGCCATGCCCCCCCGCCCGGTTGCTCACTTTACCCGGTCGCTCTCCTAGCTTTCTCTACCACGTGGTGGCCATGGCGCAGCTTGGGCGGATGTCCCAGGGCTGCTGCACATGCGCACTGCCTATGCAGCTGCTACACATACAGTGTGCATGTGCAGGAGTCCCAGGACATCCACCCACCTGCCCGGCCTCCCAGAGCACATTTTCTTCCTTCTCCCGGTGGACATGCCTCTTCCAGCCCAGCCTGACCAGCTAGCAGGTGGCTGGGCAGCTATCCCGGTGCATCTTGCCCCCCCCCCCTTGTTGCAAGATGCTTGCAACTGCTGTGTGCTTTTTTTGGTGCAGCTGCAGTCCAGCAGCCGCACCGGAAAAAGCACGCCCTGTTCTATGTGCCGGGCCTGGCAAGTCCAAGCAGCCGGTGCATAGAACAGGGCGGTGCCAGAACGTTGGAGAAGCGGAGCGGAGCCGGATGTCAGTAGCCGCCTCTTTCGCAGCACAAAAAGCCTCCCCGAATCAGATGGCTGATTTCCTCTTTCTCTGCCTATTTGTTCAGTATGGCTGAAGAGGAGGAGACCAGCCGGCCAATTCGGGGAGGAATTATGTGCTGAAAGAGGTGGCTAGAGACTGAAAAAGAGTCGCCTCCTGTAGTGGTCCCTTTGGCCAGCTGTTCTCCTTCCCAGCCATACAAAGCAAGCAGGTGGAGAAAGATGAGACCAGCCATCCAATTCAGGGAGGATTTTTGCGCTGAAAGAGGCAGCTGGAGACCAAAAAAGAGTTGCCTCCAGCAGCAGCTCCTTTGGCTGGCTGGTCTTCTCCTCGGCCATACAAAACAAACAAGTGGAGAAAGAGGAGACCAGCTGGTCGATTCGGGGAAGCTTTCTGTGCTGTGAAAGAGGCAGCTACTGATCTCCGGCTCCGCTCAGCTTCTTCAACAGTCTGGCGCAGCCCAATTCTATGTGTGGGTTGCTCAGACTTGCCGGGCCCAGCACATAAAACAGGGCATGTTTTTTTCAGTGTGGCTGCTGGACTGCAGCTGCATTGAAAAAAGCGTGCAGCAGCTGCAGGCATCTCGCAACAAGGGGGCGAGAAGCCCCAGGACATATCATCATCTCCTGGCTGGCCAGGCCGGGCTGGAAGAGGCGCATCTGGCAGGAGAAGGAAGAAAGCATGCTCCTGGAGGGCAGGTGGCGGGCAGGTGGGTGGATGTCCTGGGACCACTTAAAGGTCGACTTTAAGAGTGCCCCCATGGAAGAAGCCGAGAACCGAGAGCAAACATAGTGGCGGCGGGGGTGATGGGCATGTGCATCCCTCTACAAGGAATGTGAAGGGAGGCAGATACCCCACCTGTAAGGAAAGGAGGAGGTGCTGAAGCCCTGGCTATCACCCGGCAGGGGACCGCGGAGGGACCTGTCACTCCCACTGCTGCTACTTTTGCTCTCGTTCTTGGCTTCTTCCATGGGGGCGGTCTTAAAGTTGATCTTTAAGAGCTGGAAGACATTTTGTTAGATCGCCACCAACTCATTATTGGGAGAGGTATAGCCCCTGAATTC